GCCCATGTGTTGGGTGCATATATGTTTAGGATGGATATTTCTTATTGATGGATTGAACCTTTTATGATTATGTAATGTTCTTTTGCATCTTTTTAAATTTTTGATAGCTTAAAGATTTTTTTGTCTGATATTAAGATCACAACTCCTGCCTTCTTTTGTGATCCATTTGCCTGGAAACTCATATTCCATCCTTAAACTTTGAGTCTGTGTGTGTCTCTTGCCATGAGATGAGTCTCCTGGATGCAGCAAATAATTGGGTCATGGTTTCTTATCCAGTTTGCCATTCTGTGTCTTTTTAGTGGTGCATTTATTCCATTAACATTCAGGCCGATTATTGAAATCTGATTGTTTATTGTGGTCATGAGGTTCTTATAAAGTTTTTTTCTTTGATGGCTTGTTGTCTTTTGGCTTTGGGGTTTGGCTTTGTTTGTTTTCAAGTTTCTTGTTGCTCTTATTCTCTGTTGATTCTGTGCTCTGCTGTTCTCTTGGGAAGGGTGTGGTCAGTCTTTGTTTTGTTTCCTCTGTGCTTAATACCTTTTTAAGTGTCTCCTGTAGTGCTGGAATACTGGTCTGGAAGCTACATAATCTCTTAGGGATTGGATGTCTGGGATGGATTTAATTCTCCATTACTGATGAAGCTGAGCTTGACTGGATAGGAAATTCTTAATTGAAATTGTTTATCTCTGAGAACTTTGAATATAGGGCTCCAGTCCCTTCTTGATTGTAGCGCTTCTGCTGATAGGTCTGCTGCTATTCTGACTGGTTTTCCCTGGTAGGTAGTCTGACCTTTCTCTCTTGCTACCTTTAGGATTTTTTCTTTTGTGCTTACTTTGTGTAGGTGAATTACTATGTATCTAGGGGTTGGTCTTCTCATTTGATATCTTGTGGGGGTTCTCTGTATCTCTTGTGCTTGGCTGGTCACATCTCTGGTGAGATGGGGAAAGTTTTCTTGGATTACTGGAATACTTGCTCCAAGTTGTTCTCCATTTCCCTTTTTTCTTCTGGCATACCAATCAGGCATAGGTTTGGCCTCTTGATATAATCACACATCTCATGTAAGCTCTGTTTTTTCTTTCTGAGTCTTCTTTCTGTTTTTTATAGATCAGGTTAATTACATGTTCTGGTCTTCAAGTTCTGAGATTCTTTCTACAGCAGATTAATCCTGTTTTCCATGCTTGTCATCTTGTTATTTATTTCCTGGATGAAATTTTAAATTGCCAAAATCTCTGTTAGAAGTTCTTTCAAGCTGGGCTCAGTGGCTCAGTCTGTAATCCCGCGCCTTTGGGAGTCTGAGGTGAGTGGATTGCCTGAGCCCATGGGTTCGAGACCCGCCTGGGCAGTGAGACCTTATCGCGACAATAAATAAAAAAATCAGCCAGGCGTAGTAGTACATGCCTGTAATTCTGGCTACTCAGAAGGCTGAGGCGGAGGGATCACTGGGGCCCAGCAGGCGAGACTGCGGTGACCAGGAGCGGCCACTGCACTCCAGTCTGGGCGACCGAGTGAGATTCCAACTCAAAAAAAAAAAAAAAAAAAAGAAGTGCTTTCAGTGTTTTATCTTGTTTTTCTTGAATCTTATTAACTCTTTCCATCCATTCCCTAATCCCTGTCATATTCTGGGGCCAGCCATTGGTGACTTCCATTGTTTGGGCACCATGGTCTGATTTTTCAGGCATCTTGTATTTGGTACACTTGAAATTGCCTGAGGTCTTCCTTTGGTTTTTCCTCATTTGTGACAGATCACTTGTTTTTCTCTTTAGTTCTGCTATTCAGTGTCAGTGGAAGAAAATTTCCCCACTGATGTTTGCTCAGTCCTCTATTCTTCCCTGATCTGGGCTCTGTATTTGTTCTATTTTGAAATAGGATGTTAAATGGGAATCGTTGCTGTCTCTGGTAGTTTTTGAAATTTGAATAAAGTAGGGGATGGGGTGCTAGGATTCAGAAACTACTTGCAAATTGTAGTGTTCACTTATTGGGGTATATGTTCCCTGAGACCCACTCACCACCACTACTCTATATGATGATGCAAAGCAGAAACCAATGCAAAAAACAATTTACACACACACACACACACACACACACACACACACACACACACCCGAAAACAACCTGGAATAACAACAGAGTGTAAAAAATAAACAACAACAACAAAAACGAAGAAAACTAAACACAAACATACATGCCTAGCATAAAGTGAATAGAGAAGAAAAACAGAAAAACCAAAGGAAAAAAAAAACCCACAATTTTTTAATAAAGAAATTCTAGGTTTTTGGGGTCCCCCCAGTCGTATTCATATATATGTGTGTGTGTGTGTGTGTGTGTGTGTGTGTGTGTGTGTGTGTGTGTATGAATTGATTAAGGAGGATTGGCTGACACAATTACAAAGCAAAATCTCAAGATAGGTCATCTGCATGCCAGACAATGAGAAGAGTAGGTAGAGGCTCAGTCAAAGTCCGAAAGTCTCAGAACCAGGGCTGTCAACTCTGAAGCCTCTGAGGTTGAAGGCCCAAGAACCCCTGGGAGGGTCAAGCCCTAGAGTCCAAATGATGAAGAATCTTGAGCCTCAGGTCCCAGGTCCTGCCCTGAGGAACAGGGCATCTTGCCAGGGAAGGCAGCCAGAGAGTGGGGAAACTCAGGTAGCTGCTTTTGCCTCTTCTTCTGCCTACTTTATTGTAGCCTCACTAGCAGCCAGTTGGATGGTACCTGCTCACATAAGGGTGGAGCTTCCTCTCCCCGACACTGACTAGCATGCCACTGTCTTCTAGAAACACCATCATAGACCTATCCAGAAGCAACGTTTCAGTAGCCTCTAGGCATCCCTTGGACTAGTCTCATTGACACCTCATATTAGCCATCACAATCTCCAGGGGCGGGCACTGGCCAACAGTTTCTTCTGGGTGGTGAGTATCAGGAATAGGCATAAGGATCAGGAAAATCCCTGTGGAGGATGCCAGAGCAATTAAGATGCAAATACTGCAGACCCTGAGTGCGGGAGACAAACCCAGAGGCTCTTCTCATCATTCCAAGAGCCCTGAAGGCAGGCTTTGCTCTGAGGTCAGGTGGACTTACCTTACATCCACAGTGGTACTCAGCGGGTGTCTCTAATAGTTCTCTGTGTCCAGGATTAATAGGTCAGGGGAGGGCATTGGTGCCACTGTCCCCAATGTTGGTAGTGTGTGGAGGAGACACACCAGGGGGAAAGCTGACATTCTCAGGTTGTGCTCAGAGCAAGTAGGACATGAGGTCAGTGCTCTTAGGTGGTCAGCTACACTTTACCAACACAGTGTCAGAAAATTAGGTCATTTTCTGTTTCACCGGGTTATCACTAATCCCAGCTCCATGAGCACTGCCCAGAGGGTGCCTTTTTTCCCTGAAAGGCTAGAAATTTTAATAGTAATTTTCAATGAGTATTTTATTGTTTCTCAGACACCATGCAGGTCTTGGTATATTGCTTTGATGTCACTCAAGCCAATCCTTTCTTAGTGACATATGTTTATATGAGCTCATTTTTAAATGTGTTGTATTCATAACTCAAGGGAAATAATGGAAAGAAACAAAAGAGATGCTATTAAATAGATAAACAACAGGTTAAAAGAGGGCAATTTCATGACTAGCTTAAAGATAATATTTTATTCCTTTAGCACAAATCCTTTACTTTTTTGGAGTAAACAAATTTCTTGATAAGATTCTAAAATGCCACATAAATGATAAACGTGGCACACAGGATAATATTCACACACACACCTCTCCCCCCACACACACACAAAGAGCACATATGTGTATAGAATGTCTCTGGAAGGACACTGGAGAAACTGGCTATAATAGTTACTTCTAGGAAAGAAAGATTTATTTTTCCTGGATAGTCTTTTGTACTTTCTAATATTATACATCATGTGTATCTTCATACGCAAAACACACAATGAAAAACATAAGAATGCATGTAAACAGAAAACATTTTTATATAAGGTGAAATAATAACAGAGAGGGAACAACATTCTGGCTGGTGGGTGTGTGGTGACTGAGTGCAGCAACTGCATCCTCACTTGACTCATGGGACACAACTGTGCTGCATCCTGGGCAGCTCAGCCTGTGAAGGATCATAAAGAATCTGTTCTTTAGAAACCGCATAGACCATAGATTATGCTGCACTTGAAACAGAGGAGGCCTCCTGGTGCTTACCACAGGCTGTTATTACACTGTGTAGAAAAAGGAGGTAGAGCAAATCTACCCTATTTACACCTCAGTCCGGGCCCTATGCCTGGTCTGTATTGTGAATGGCGGGGGTGGGGGTGAACATGGGGAAAAAAAGGGTCAGAAGAACACTGTTGTACAAGCACTCATACACACACCCAAAATGCTTCTGTTCATGTATTAAAGGTTGTGTTATCTCTGAAACACTGGTTAGAATCCTTAAGAGCATTCCTCAGTGACTCACGCCTGTAATTCCAGGATTGCTTGAGCCCAGGAGTTCGAGACCAGTTTAAGCAATATAGCAAGATCTCGTCTTAAAACAAACAAAACAAAAAAGCTGATTGTGGTAGTGTGTGCCTGTAGTCCTTGCTACTCAGGAGACTGAGGTGGAAGGGTTGCCTGAGCCACGGCTGCAGTGAGCCATGATGATGCCATAGCACCCCAACCTGGGCAACAGAGTGAGGCACCGACTCAAAAAATATATCTCTGTATCTATCTATCTATCTAACTATCTATCTATCTCTATCATATCTATCTATCATCTATCTATCTCTATCATATCTATCTATCATATCTATCTATCTATCTATCTATCTATCTATCCATCCATCCAGACTGTTCATACTGTGGAGAAGTTTCCTGGTGGCCATGATATTTCAACGGAAAGACTTAATTTAGATTAATTTGTCTTTTGAAGGGGTGTGGGGCTTTTCATTTCTCTTCTCATCAAGTGCTTTGGCAGTTAGGTAGTACGTGCTTTTCAAGTGCGACATCACTTTTCAAGTGTGGGATTATCTGTGTCCCTGCAGAGTTCAACATGTTCCACATGATCGCAGTGGGACTGAGCAGCTCCATCCTCGGCTGCCTCCTGACCCTGCTCGTCTACACCTACTGCCAGCGGTACCAGCAGCAATCCCACGACGCGACTGTCATCCACCCTGTCTCGCCTGCCCCACTCAACACCAGCATCACTAACCACATCAACAAGCTGGACAAATATGACTCGGTGGAGGCCATCAAGGTAAGCAAATCTACCCTATATACACCTCAGTCTGGGCCCTGGGTAAGGAGTCGGCGGTGACAGCTGCCGCCAGGTGTGCAGAGGAGGCGGGTGGACCCATGAACTGTCTGCAAAGCTCAGGGGTGGTGGTGCAGGTGATAGAGTCAGGGGGAGGCAAGGGTTCTTCTGATGAATTGCCTTTCTGGTGTTGCTTTGTCTGTGAAAAGATGGCATCTTACCTTGGGGATGTAAGTTTTAAAAGGGACATAAAAAGAGCAACAGATAAAATGCTGGAAGATGTTAGGTCATTGGTCAACATCCTCTTGGCCAGGTGGCCTCTATTCTCCATCACTTGAACAGAGACACACCGATTATCTTTTCCCCATGGACCCCATTTTAACTAGGATTCTAAAGCCACCAGCACCTCTGACCCCTCAGATAATAGAGCTGGGAAATGAAGCACCAGGAATTAGTGGCACACCCTTAACAGTCTCCCAGAAATGAACTCTGAGTATGGAGAAGTAAGGAAGAATATGAACTCCTTTTATTAGCAAGAAGCTTCCCCCAAAACCTCCAGAATCCAAGATTGAGATTCCTGTGAGCAAGATTTCAACACACCAGCTTATCTGCAGTCACTGGTACTTCAGATATTAGAAGGTGATTTCCCATCTTGTGATGCCACTTAAGATTTAGCACCCACTCTTAAGATACTCAGAAATATTTCTGCCATGAAGAAAAAGGACCATGAGGATATGGACAACTGCCCAGTCTTTAATGAATCATTCTAGAACTTTCTTCTGATATTTTACCTAGACTAATCCTGGACAGTTGAACTCTGCCTACTCTCCTTAATCTTTGTTTTGGTCCACATAATGTTTACCTTCTGCCTGGAAGAGTTTAGCCTCTTTGAAATTGCAGGTGAGGTCAGGTGTGGTAGCTCACGCCTATAAGCTCATCATTTTAGGAAGCTGAGGAAGCAGGATGGCCTCGGGCCAGGAGTTGGAGACCAGCCAGGGCAAAAAAAAGAGATAATTCCTTAATTAAAAAAAAAAAAAAAAAGCCAGGTATGGTGACTCATGTCTGTAATCTCAGGACTTTGGGAGGCTGAGGCAAGAGGATAGCTTGAGACCTGCCTAGACAATGTAGCAAGTCCTCATTTCTACAAATAATAAGTTATAAAATAGCTGGGCATGGTGGCGCATGTCTTAGTCCTACTACTTGAGTGACTGAGAAAGAAGGATCACCTGAGCCCAAGAGTTGGAGGCTGAGATGAGCCATGATTGTGCCATTGCAGTCCAGCCTGGGCAACACAGTGAGACCCTTACGGCAGGAAGGAAGGAAGGAAGGAAAGAAGGAAGGAAGGAAGGAAGGAAGGAAGGAAGGAAGGAAATTACATGTTTTTTAAAGTAACTTTTTTTTGAGTCAGAGTCTCACTGTTGCCCAGGCTGGAGTACAGTGGCACGCTCACAGTCACCACCGCCTCAACGTGCTGGACTCAGGTGATTCTTTCACCTCAGTCTTCCAAGTAACTGGAACCGCATGCATATGCCACTGTACTTGGCTAATTTATTTATTTTTTATTGTACAGACAAGGTCTTGCCAAGTTGCTCAGGCTAGTCTTGAACCCTGGGATTCAGGCAACCCTTTCGCCTCCACTTTCCAAAGTGCTGGGATTACATGTGTGGGCCCCCATGCCCAGTTTAAATAACTATTCATAAGAAAATGGATGCACCAGTTATCTATATATTCTAGCAAGTGCAGAATGAAAATGAACAAAGGCATTTGAAATCTGATGCATTTCCTTAAATAAAGTCTGTCTGTCACAATCTTTGATAAATGTACATATCCATGGTCACTTGAACACTATTTACATATTTAGTTCTATGTGATAACCTTCAAAGTGTCTGTTAATATGAAATCATTAGCGTTTTAGATTTTCTAGCACTTTCGATTTAGGTTTTGTTTAAACCTATGCTTCTGTGGAAAACTTTATAATTAAAGTTCAAAAATGGACCAGAAGATACCACAAACTGCTAATACCATTGTAATTATGAGGCAAGTCCCATCCCTTCATGAGGTAAATCATATGGAGGAAGCAAATAGGTAAGAAAATATACTTTAAAATAATGGCGCCTTAGGAGAGAGAGCTCAAATTCAACATAATTGCCATCCTACTTATATCCTTTCTGAAATGCTACATACTGAGGATCCTTAAACCTTTTTAAAAAATATTTTACAGGCATTCAACAAAAACAACTTGATCTTAGAGGAAAGAAACAAATACTTCAACCCACATCTCACTGGGAAGACCTATTCTAACGCCTACTTTACGGATCTCAATAATTATGATGAGTATTAATAGCTCTTCTATTTTTGGCTTCTTGTAAATCCCCAGTTCCTCAAGGCCCGTGCCCCCTGACTGTCCATGTTTCTGAGGCTTCAGAGATGAAGTTTGGATACATTTCAAGTGCATTTCAAGCTATGAGTGTCCCTTTGCTGCCAAGAAAACACATTCTTAAAACCAATACAAATCTAAATATGACATCATGAAAATCTGCTCTGTAATACTCAATCATTGTTGAATGAACCATGATGTGAAGTTTTTAATTGTATTCAGCCCATTTCTCTAACAAGTGCATTGTGGGTTTTTTTATTTTTTTGAGCTTTATTTTTAAAATGTGCCACCTGTATTGGAAGGAGTGTTTACAGATATGACTGTCTTCTTGTTTTTGAGTGTAAAATCTTCATGATGTTTTCATTCAAGAAAATAGGTGCTTTACCCAAGAGCCCCCCCCTTTACAAGTGTGTGTAGGTCCATAATATTTGGTAAAATGGGAAAAAATGAATGTGACCAATTATTCACCATGAATTTTTCATCTTCTCCAATCTGGATAATGCTTTGGGATTCTTGGAAGCAGCTTGGGCTTTGGACTTGAGATGATTCTTGCATGGAGAAGCCCAGAGATCTCACCTGGCTTGCAGCTGCAGAGGTGACAGTCAGCTGTGCCCATCTTGGTTCCAATACAGTTTCTGTGCCATTGCTGGTGGAGGGAGCACAGGGAGCAGAGGTGCAGATGTGTGAAGCGTGGGCGTGTCCTGTTGGTCGCTGTGAAACCAGCCTTATTCTGACTTTGGGATTTCATGGCATTCCAGGGGGGCTTCTGGCTGCACCACTGGCCTGGAAGCCCAACTGTCTGGTCCAGAGGAACGTCTTGAAGAGCCAGTCTGTAAAATAACCACTTGTTTAGCTTTTGGATACCCTCCATACCTCCTCTCTCCCCACCAAGAGAAACCTTGAACATTTATGATACCAATTAGGGAAAGTATTGAAAGTACTGAACTATAACTGAAAACAACTTTCTTATTTTTCATGTTGTGGAAAATATTGAAAGAACTGATATTAATGAAAAGCAACTTTTATTTTCCATCTCCCTGATATAACTAATGTGTGATATCAGCCCCTACCAAGGGCATTAATGACATGCAGAACTGGCTTTCTGAATCCTGTTGGATCTGTGTGAAATGCACCCCCCACCCCAGTGCCACGCTATCCCTTGATGCCCCAAGCCAGGCAGGAGGAGACACCCGGCTCTGGTGCCTTTTCTTTTGTCTCAGTGCTGCCTTCCCCATTCACCCAAAACACCCTATTCCACTTCTCCTACATGAAGGCATGAAGGTACATCTCAAGATGCACATTGAGATGTCAGGGTGCTGGAAGTAAGGCTTTTAATAATCCTGTGGTCTCAACATTGATCACTGATAAGCATTTCTGTGTTATAACACCCACTCATAGAAGTCCCTATGGGGGGGAAAAATATATACATTTCTCATAAACAACTGATGCATAACATGTGGCAGTTGTCTGAGTTACAGGTAAGAACAAGATGGAAAATGTTCATGTGATACCTCTAAGCATGTGATAAAGGCCTGGGCAGACAGGAAACATGTTCTTACTAATAAATGAAACTTCAGATTTGAAAAACATATAGTAGGGGTATTGAGCAACACAAAATTTTATTAGCATTCATGTTACCCTATCCAGTTTAAAGTTACAATGTCAAAGTTTTGAAAAAAAAAAATCCTAGGTTTAATAGTTAATATCCTTGAATTCAAAATATTCTCATGCACCCACATTTGCAGACATGACACTGTATTAAAATGGCAGGTGGTCTCTGGAAGGTCTGTTAGCTTGCAAATAAATGACATTCAGCATCTTTCCAGGGGGGACTTCCTGTTGCCTCTCATGCTTGCCTCACATGCAGCATAAGAGTCCTCTGTGTGTGTACACATACTCAAAGTCCACACTCAATAGGGGAAATTTAGCCAGATGATTTTCTAATTGTTCCTGGGCTGGATTTTCTTTAGATATTTCAAACTCATCACTGTCTTGTAAGAAAAATATTCTCTCTATATAGTGCATTTTAGTTGTTTTCAATCCCCTCCCCAATATTTTCTAAGCTTAAAAATACATTTTATTTTCCTGGGGGAAAAGGATACTAATATTTCACGAATGTGCCACTGGAATTTTTGGGAAATGGTTTCTGAATGAGACCCAAGCCAGTCTTTAATCGATCTTATGCAATGACTGGCAAAAACACCCCTCCTCCACCACATAATTTTTATGTTGTTGATAATATAAACCTTTGAGATCAGTATTGCAAAAAAAAAAGAAAAGAAAAGAAAACCCTTCATTTTTTTTTGTTCCCTGACATACTATTCAAAGAGATGTCTCTCTCTCTCTCTCTCTCTCTCTCTCTCTCTCTCTCTCTCTCTCTCTCTCCCTCCCCCGTCTCTCTCTTTTATGTAACAGAGTACCAATAATTTAGAATAAATTTCAGGCACAGTCTAAGTATTTTAACTAGATGTGGAAGAACTTTTGTCATTTCTTCACTGTATAGCTACCTTTCTGGGTACATGCTTCACAGAAGAGCCACATACACCAGATATTTCCTTCAAAACTCCCTATTTCACTGTCAGCATATATGCGTGCTACCACCCCTTATAGCTCCGTTTGGCATCTCAATTTCTTCACTGTTGTAGGGATGCTTCACTAAGCCTGTTCAAGTAGATTCTGACTAGAACTAGCATGAGCATTGGAGGAAAAAAGAGGGCTTCTTATGTGTATGGAGGGGTAGGCAGAGATTCTAAAGGAATCGACGGGGAGTCACAAACAGCAAATGGGAGTTAGGACATCCCTGCCCTGAAGAAACCTCTATTCCTAGGGAGGGTCAGTCCACATTGTCTAGGGTGAACAGGGATCTGGCCCATTTGACATACAGGTGATACCAAAGAGAAAAGAAGCCAATGTTGGAAACAAATAAGTAGGTGATGTGAAAGATGGGGCCCGGTCCCTCCCAAGTGATTTTATGGATGGTCCCTAGTGGGGGTCATAACCCACAAGCACAGCACATGGGTCTGATCCTTGGATTCTTCTAGGGTCAGCTGTCCAGAGGGCCAGAGTTTTAGGCAAAGGTATTATTATTTCCTTATTTATCTGCAAAAGGATGAAAATCATGGGAGTCAAAACCTATTTTGGTCAGCATTTCCACTGGAATCTTCAGTAGACTCCAATGGGACATGCTATCAAAGTTACGGATAATGTCTCAGCAAGGGGATGCCATGTCCCCATGATGCCTTCTAGAGGAATGCCTTCTGGGGGAAACAATATTAAAGGAAAGTTTTTCTTAACAATCTATTGAGTCTAGATTACCTAGCTAATCACTTTGCCTAACACACAGTCTTGATAGTGTTTGAATTTATAAATGTCCAAATGCTTCTTTATAATATTTTTAGAACTTTTAGAATAAATCATAAGTATCTCCCCAGACTGTCAAGCTGTTTCCTCATCAACTTTGTTCCCAGGTCACCAACTTTTTTAATCTTGGGTGACCTTTACACTTAAGTGGGATTATGCTTGTGTGTAGCATTTGGGGATAGTGCCATTGAGTTTATCGTTTTTGTCTCAAAAGATGACTCTGGGGCAGTTAGCCAAAAGCAACAGGTACCGATGGTTGATACAATGAACTGCATTAAAGCAGCCATTTTCCACATGACAGGACTGAGTCTAAGTCGCACATGCCAATAATCAATTTTGATTAACATATTGGTAACCTTAAATCAGCTCATAGGCAAACTCACCACCGCTTATTTTAATAGGATACAAACTGGAGTTTACAGATGGTATTGGCCATGCTCAGCACATTCATCCATTCTGACTTCTCCATCACTTCATGGTGCGCTTGGCATATCATGACGTGACATTGCCAGTATTTGCTTACCTATGCTTATCAGACATTAAAAGCCATTCTTTGGTCCCTGCTTATTTGGGCAATGAGTGTGAAATGGGGAACACAGAGTAATGTTCACTTTGACCTAAGAAATGCACAAAAGAGAATGTCATGCACAGTATATTACCATGTAGAATAAAATATTTGGAGACCAGGGACCATTGTAGAATTTCTGCTATTCTACCTTATAGAGGTAATTAATTATAACTGATTTTAAAATGTTTTATTGCTCTACAAATACCGAGCCAAGGCATTCAGGTTTGATGACTTGATGACCTGTTGAAACAAAGAAAAATATATTGCTTTATTCCCTTTTGGAAATTGAAAAGTAATGAGCAAGATGTAATGTTGAGCAATTAGCATTAACTTCTAAAGTGATTCTCTCATACCTTTTTTTAAATGGACTTATGTTAAAGATGCAATGAACACATTGTTTTAACTCAGTTTTATACCATGGTCATATATCACATTTTCAAAAATTTGATACACGTTGCAGAGGCATCAGAAATGAAAACCTTCTCTGTTTTGAAAATATAGTTCATATTACAACATGACTTAGGCCATCAACAAAACCAAATTCAGAGCCTGGCACAGTGTACTCTTGTACTTCCTAGTGAAAGCTGTCTCACAACACAGTCTTTCTGAATGATCATGTTAGCTCTGCCATAGAAGGCAATCAAGCCTATTACCCATGACCAGAATCAGTATCAATTTTTGCTCAAGCAAACATGTTTTACTGTGTTGGCACCATGGGGTAACTTGTCAAGGGCGCTTTCAGACCTGGAAGAAGGAAAGTAAGTGTAGAAAAACCACTCTACGACATTTCTTAAACTCAGATGTCAGACAAGCACGGGCATTTATTCTATCCCTTCATTGTTAGTCTGAAACACGGGGCCAGTAGTTCCAATGTGATTCTGTTCAGTCTCAGCTTTTTTTTTTGGCAATTTGATGCCAAATGGTCCAAATGTTTGATGAATGTCAGTAATAAAGGATTTAAATGTTAGATAAATACAAGCTGGGAGCAAAAATCTGGATTCTAGAAGATCAAAAGTGTTTTACTGCATTGGTTGAAGGAGAGTGTGGTTTTCCACCCTCTCTGAAAGTCTGAATGGCTTAATTTCCTAGAAAAATTGCTAGTGCCTTGTAAGTTGATGATTTATCATTTTGCCTGGATACTATTGATTCCAATTAGAAGCAGAGGATTGATTGGATATACTTTAAAGAAAATCATTCTTATATGCCTCTTTGAACTCAGGAATAGAAAATGACTAGGAAGCAAGCACGTCATCATCAAATGTGATTTTTGCCATCACTGGGTAAGTGGCACCACAATAGATGTAACGGTGTGTTCAGAATAGAGGTGAAGCCAGTCACAGCCTTCTAGAAACTAACCTTACTCTGATTTTTACATCTTCCAACAAACACTATAGTATTTGTTCCATAGTAAGAATGTCAATATCATGCCTGTAGAAATTAAAGGTTTTTATTTCTATTACTCTTCAGGCAAGTCCATAGACTTAGAAAAATCAGACACAGACTGGTTGCAGCTAGCAGATACAGATATGGGTAGAATGAGAACCACCTAGCACATGGCCTGATTTTCATGTCTTTTTTAAAAGTCAGAACAGCTTCACGAGTTCACAAAAAGTGGTCCCTCTTAACTTGGGTTAAGAAAGGTAACTGTGTTTTATCTGCTAAAGTTGTTACTTCTCCCTCACACCATGACTATTGGCCAAACTAAAGCTGGAACTTCTGCACTTTGAAAGAAAGCACAGTATGAACCTTCAATGCAAGCGCCTAGATTCACCACTGAAACTAAATTTCAACTGCAAAGAAAATGCACAAACTTGGTCCAATGTAGGATTCTTTGGAAATGTGTAGCAAAAATTGTGTATTCTGCCATGCGATGTGACTTTTAAAGATGAGATTAATTTTTGTTTCTGTGTTAATTTGCTGTTGCCTGTTTTGTGATACAAAATAAAATGATTTGAGATTTTCTTTTTTCATGAACTTTCTCTAAAGCCATCTTAAGTCCTTGCTTAACTTACAGTTACTGATCTTAAAATTAACTTTTAAAAGGAAATGTATATTAATCATAATGGAGTTTTAAAAATAATTAGATAACTTTGTATTCCCCCTTCACTTGAAAGAGAAAATGGATCCTTGGTGTTGCCAATTGGAATGCTCATGGATTGCTGGATATTTTCTCAGAGAGCCATGGAACGCACCACACTTTCTTCAGTCCTTACATTTGATTGTCAAGGTTGTCTTCAAACCCTTCTTGTTAGGTGTGTGCAGTATTTCCAGTGGTCATCACTTTTATCGTTTCTGTCCATCGATTCCCTGGTTTTAACTGGTCCCTGCGAGCTGTTCAGGTCTGTATCTCAGCTTGTTGCTTAATGATGCTTGACAGATACATTGTTTTCAGAAATCAGTTTAAGACACCAATTGTGGCAAACGAGCCAGGGAGCTCATTACCTATTGTGCTAGATCAATTATGGAAGTCAGAGACGGGGTGGACAGGGGTTACCCAACCAATCAGTGGAAACTGACTCATACCTTCTCCAAGTCTCGACTCTGGGAATAACAAACATGTTTTATAAGATAAAATTAGCTACCGTTACAGAAGTGAAAATGTGCTCACTTACTGTTCTTGGTGCATTGTCAGTTTCTGTATCTCAACCCTATTCATCTTTTTAAAAATAATTCATAAAGAATGATCCTGCATACTTCTGAAAATGTGGTGGTCTCCCTTTCCTAGCAAACCTCTCCTCACCATCTTTATCTGCCATTTGGGGGGAACAAAATAAGGGAATTCTGATTGTGTACAGTATAAATTGTATTATATTTTTTGTACTTATGTTTTATGTAAATAGTTTGTCTCATTCAATTGTATGTGAGCATTGAAATAAATCCTACCATTTAGGAAACAATTTAGTGGCATTTTTCTTTTCTTTTTTTTTATTTTAAAGATGTGGGGTACAATTCAGGGTTAGGTATACAAACGTTGAGTATGCAGGTATCCTTGTTGATGAGGTGTGCCTCTCCCTCCCCTAGCAGTTACCCTCAACTGCTAATCCCACCCCCTCCCGACAGTTTCCCACTACTGCCAATTCCTTTCTTAGAGTATTATGATAATTGTTTAAGGTTCACTTATGAGTGAGAACATATGGTACTCTGATCTTTGTTTCTGTGATAGATCACTGAGTATGATCAACTAAATTCATCCAAATTGCTGCGAAGTCCGTGTGTTTGTCCTCCTTTATGGATGCATAATATTACATTGTGTATATGTACCACATTTTAAAAAATCCAG